AAAAAAAAAAAAAAAAATCTTTATCCATAGCATGTCTTCATAAAAAAAAAAATGCAATTTTAATTTAGTAACATTATTGTTTTTATAATTATTTAAAAATTTGATGATTCTTTCATCTATCTTCATATATCAAATTCAATCTATTGACTATAGTAGTAGTCAAACAAAGCGCTTTTTAAATGTTTTTGGATGCAAATTTTCGAATAAATAATTTGTGATTGGTTCTAAATTAAGAATGAACTAACACGTTGCTTTTAAAGGTTCTGAAATAAGTAATGACAACTTTAGTAGAAATCCATCGCATAGTGATCCAAAACAAGCATTTTAGCTAAATTTGTTACAGGAAAATTTTAATCTATCCTACGAGATTCTTAAAATATTACAAAATACAATCTATAAACAAATAATTACATCTCTACCTAATAGATAAGATATAACTAAATTAATGCTTAAAATTAATTACCATATCCATTCAACCTACATCCCCTTGTTATGAGCTTGATTAAGAGAGAAAAATTAAAAGCAACCATATAATAAATAACTACTCATTTAATCTCTCAATTCGCGCAGGTATGTTTTTAATAAATATAAATAAAAACATGTATTGTAATTCACGCAGCTGTCTAGGTGGGTATATATTGTGTTTATGTTAGTATATATACAGTATATGTTGCAATGAAAAACATGTCTTCCATAAAAAAATATGTCTTCTTGTTTTTGTTTTTTTTTTTTTTTTAAGTTTAACGTTCATTGAAATATACGTGAATTGATAGTTTTTATTAATGATATATGTGTCGTTTTTTTATTAATGGTATATGTATCATTTTTTTTAGACGTATTGCTTATATTGCTTTTATTCTTTGTAAAAAGTTTTACAAAAAAATAAACTATACATATACACAACAAATCCATAAAAAAGAAGCATAAAGTATATATATGGTTTATAAACATATTATAACAAGTTATTTATGCAATAATCTTCTAATATACTAAAACAACAAAAGCCAACAAATTGCTCTTTTGTTAATTTCATTTTCAACAAAAAAATCTTCTAATAAACCAAACATAAACTATGAATAAACATTGAAAACATAAAAAAAAAAAAAAAAAAA